CCCGCTACCACGCCCAGCTAATTTTTTGTATTTTTAGTAGAGACGGGGTTTCACCGTGTTAGCCAGGATGGTCTCGGTCTCCTGACCTCGTGATCCGCGTGTCTTTGCCTCCCAAAGTGCTGGGATTACAGGCATGAGCCACAGTGCCCGGCCAAACTGGGTAATTTATAAAGAAAAGGAATTTATTTCTTACAGCTCTGGAGGCTAAGTCTAAGGGCGAGGGGAGCATCCGAGGAGGCGTTCATGCTGGCGGGACTCTGAATGAGGAGGTATTCATGCTGGTGGGACTCCAAAGGGTCCTGAGGCAGCTCGGGGCAGCCATGGTGAGGGCTCGGTGTGCGGGCTCAGGCCTCAGGCCTCTCTTCCTCTTCTTATAGAGCCACCAGTTCCAGTCCCGTGATAACCCAGGAATCCACGGGCAGGATCCTCACCCCCCAGGCACGTCCCAAGGCCCCACCTGGAAATGCGGTAGCATGGTGATGGAGTCCAGCGTGTTTCAGAGGGACAGACTTTAAATTATAGCAGCTGCCCTCCCACAGAAGGGACAGGGCCAGCTGCCCCCTTCCCGGGCTGACCAGCAAAGGGAGTGCCATCAGGGCCTTGTACAGGTTCATCCTGAGCTCAGGGACAACAGCAGCCCTGCAGACTCCTGTGGAGAGGGGCTGACCCAGCCTGATGGTGAGAGACAAGCCACGCAGGGTGCTGTGCCTGTTCCCGCTGGCCTGGCTTCCCTGTACACGGTGGGCCTGTCCATTCCAACTGGCTCGAGGCTCTGCCTTTTTAAAGAGGACCTGGGAACTCATAAGCCACTCAAGGAACTGCAGATAAAAGGCCCCCAGTCTCAGATTTGGGGTTACCATTGGTCTGAGGGGCCAGTTCAGCTGTGCTGGATGTCCCTGGAAGGCCTTGCTGAGCAGCTGGGAGGAGGTGTGAGGGCAGCAGGGGCTGCTGTCTTCCCCCAAAGCCCTTTTTTTTTTTTTTTTTTTTAAAGACGGAGTCTCGCTCTGTCGCCCAGCCTGGAGTGCAATGGCTCCATCTCGGCTCACTGCAAGCTCCGCCTCCCGGATTCACACCGTTCTCCTGCCTCAGCCTCCCCAGTAGCTGGGACCACAGGCACTCGCCAACACTCCTGGCAAATTTTTTTTGTATTTTTAGTAGAGACGGGGTTTCACCATGTCAGCCAGGATGGTCTCAAATCTCCTGACCTTGTGATCCGCCGGCCTCAGCCTCCCAAAGTGCTGGGATTCCAGGCGTGAGCCGCCGCGCCCGGCCCCCCCACCCCTTTTAAAAGTCCCTTGGGAGCTTTGGAGCACGTGCAGGGCCAGGCGAGTGTTGGAGGAGGCACATCCAGGCCCTGAGAGGAAGAGACAGTGTTGAGTTTTAGTGAAACACCCACCAGCTCAGTCAAACACGAGGAGAAGGGGCTGGGCTTCAGAGCTTTCTGGAGGCACTGCAAGGAGCTTGGGCCAGGGAGACCCCTGGAGGTGTGAGGCTGGGAGACCCCTGGAGGCCTGAGGCTGCGCGCTTGGGTGCTGCGGGGTCTGGGCTGTCCATACTGCCCAAGGGGAAAGCCCCTCCGGCCATGCCCTACACCCTTTGCTGTGCCCCTCCCGCCTCCCGCCCCTTGCGTGTGTCCTTGGGTCCGGCCAACGCATCCAGGATCTCGAATTCCTGTGGACCTGTGGGCTCCAGTGACGGGAGCACTGGGCGGTTCTCCCACTCCAGCTGTGCGGTCCTCAGAGCCAGGCCAGGAGCCGCTGCGTTGGGGTTTATGCTTGGATGGTGGACGGACGTGGGTGTGTCTGGGGAGCCGCACTCCGGGGTCTGGAGCTGCGTCTCCATCCTCGCCTGTGGGGGACCCTCTAAGGGCCTGCGGGCCGCCAGTCACCCTCCCTTAGCCAAGGGATGCCGGGAGATGGGGTGGGGACGCTGGGTTGTGCGTTGTGGGGCTGGCAGGACAGAGCCCCAGAGCGGCCAGACCTGCCGTTTGCACGGCACAGGGGCCCCCAGGAAAGGGCCTGCGGTGAGCCGGGGGCAGATGGCCCCTCGGGGGCCTGGACCGGTGTGCGGGCTTCTCGGGGGAGCAGCCACCTCTGCGGTGTTCAGCGCAGACCGACAGAGGTGGAGGGGCCTCCCCATGCTCGCCGCGGTGGGCCTGTCCATTCCAACTGGCTCGAGGCTCTGCCCCTGCCGCTCCTTTTCCAGGTCCTGGGGTGGGTGGCGCTATGGCACCGACGGAGAGACTGACGGCTGCCATCGGCCCACCATGGCCACTTCTCACCCTCCGCCAGTAACCTGGCTTCTTGTGGGGTCCTTCGAGGTCTGTCTGTTCGGGGGTCATTTGAGGGAGCTTTGGGTCCTACTTGAGGGCAAAGCTTCAAGGGAGGGGCCCCTGCACGTCCTGTTGGTCCCGCTGGTCCCACCTTCCTGCAGAGGCTCCCTGGGAGGCTGCGGCATCCAGGCCGGGCCTCCCAGGAAACCGAGGAGTGGGGCTGCCACCCACCCTGCCTCAGAGCCCATCTCCAGAGCAAGCCCTGTGCCCAGGGCTCAGGGCAGCTGTGCCTTAGCTGGTTTCCTTCTCTGGGAAGGGGGCGTCCTGGGCTCAGCTGGGTTTGGGGTGAATACGAGCCTTCCTGAGTGTGCGTGCCACTCCCACGCCTGCATCATCTACTCCGTCTCACAGCGAGGCCTGAGACTCCCCCGGGGGCCATGTGTCAGGCCAGGGCCTGGAATTCCCCACCCGAGGGGCTGGCCTCAGGGCTTCAGCTGGAATCTGCTACAGGTTCTGCGGTGGTCCAGGGGCCCTGGAGGTGCCAGCCTATGCCCACTGGCCACCTGCTCAACGCACAGGGCAGCCACAGCCAATGACCGAACCTGCACCGAGGGTAGGGGCTGGGGCTCCGGGCACAGTCATCTGCAGACTCCTGTACCCCACTCAAGCCCTAGGGGTCTGCCAGGCTCTGTGGGAAAGGACACAGCCCTCGGACACAGCCCTCGCCCTGCCCCCGCCCTTAGCAGCGTCGCCTCCACAGTGAGTCAGGCATGTCCCCCGTGGGTCACCTCCTCCATGCCAGGCCGCCCCCGGGGGCCTCCCTTGTGCAGTTCTGCCCTGTGTGGGTGGGGGCCCAGCTGTACCGCCTCCCTGGGTGTGGGTCGTGGGGCCGGGGAACAAGAGCCTCTGGGGTTCTCGGAGCCCAGCGTTCTGTGGTCACAGGACTCATGGCAACAATTTGGCTTGAGTTAGCACCTTTCAGAAGAAATGAAGACACTGAAGAGAGTTGGTTGTTAATTTTTTTTTTTTTTTTTTGAGACAGAGTTTTACTTTGTCGCCCAGGCTGGAATGCAGTGGTGCAATCTCAGCCCACTGCAACCTCCGCCTCGCAGGTTCAAGTGATTCTCTTGCCTCACCCTGCCAAGTAGCTGGGATTACAGGCACCCACCACCATGCTTGGCTAATTTTTGTATTTTTAGTAGAGACGGAGTTTCACTATGTTGGCCAGGCTGGTTTCAAACTCCTGGCCTCAAATGATCTGCCCGCCTCAGGCTCCCACAGTGCTAGGATAAGAGTCGTGGTCTCAGCTCACTGCAACCTCCGCCGCCCGGGGTTCACGCCATTCTGCCTTAACCTCCCGAGGAGCTGGGATTACAGGCGCTGGCTACCACGCCCGGCTAATTTTTTGTATTTTTAGTAGAGACGGGATTTCACCATGTTGGCGAGGCTGGTCTCGATCTCCTGTCCTTGTGATCCGCTTACCTCGGCTTCCCAAAGTGCTGGGATTATAGGCATGATCCACTGTGCCAGGCCATCAGTTGTTAATTTTAAGTGGAAGCTGCAAAACTGGTGAGTGGCGTTGCCCCATCAGGGACCCAGGGAGCCCCGTTTGTCCTGGCGTGGGCTTGGGACCCGGCACCGTGTTCCAAGAAAGATGCTGAGGGATCCAGACAGGCGTTTTCACCCTGAAACGAGACCAGTTACAGAAAGTGTGCGGTAGGGGAATGTGAACTGAATCCTTGCCAGCTGTTTCCGTTCTCAGTCACATCAGCCTGTATCTCCACTTGGTCATTTTTAGGTCCAGGGTTTGTAGACACAGCTCCCTCCCTACCCATCACACGCCCTTCCTACAGGCCGTGCACCCTCCACACTGCGCACCACCACGCCTGGATACATACCTATTTCTTTCATAGAAACAGGGTCTCACTATGTTGCCCAGGCTGAACTCAAGCGATCCACCTGCCAAGGCCTCCCAAAGTGGTGGGATCAGAGATGTGAGCCACCACGCCGGGCCAGTTTTCTGTTACTTGAAACAGAATATCTAAAACTGGGTATTTTTTTTTTTTTTTTGGAGATGGAGTCTTGCTCTGTCGCCCAGGCTCGATCTCGGCTCACTGCAAGCTCCGCCTCCCGGGTTCCCGCCATTCTCCTGCCTCAGCCTCCCGAGTA